TTGATAAAATAAATAAATCTAAAATATTCGTACGACATGTGAGTCAAGAGTTCTAAGAATACTTTTCTGTACCGTAAAATAAAACTTTTGAATAAAACTGTCGCGCAATACTACCTCAATAAACGATTCATGCAAAAGACGTCGCCGTTTGCAACAATAACGAANGACAAATGTATATTTAAACGTCCGAGTGAACACTTCTTGCGTTACAGTTCCAGTGACCGAGCTGAACAACATAACTAGAAGACCAGATTTATTTTGTACTTTACAAGTACGAAAGCCTACAAGTGCAAAGATAATAGTTACAGATTGTTACATTACGGTTAAGTTAGTTACATGTGAGCGCACAATTGTAACACGCCGTTACAGAGAAAATATTATACCTACTTTTTTTTCAGATTATTCGCACAAGTATATTGCAGAGCATAAAACGACACCGTGTCAAATGTATCAGCATCAATCGGAAGCTATAATTGTCAATGTGAAAAATCTAACACTGTTGCAGTCGTTTAAAATTACAAACCGACTTAAAAATTCACTATAGTGATTTTTTTGATAATTCTGTTATACGTCATCGTTCCTTCAAGATAATGCCATGGCGGATTTACGGCTATTACTAAGTGTATTGATATTTACTGCTGGAACTACATTTTCCGTTGCCGAAGATTCGGAAAATGTAACATACAGTTACCGTTTACCGGACGACGTAATCCCCGTTCATTATAACATTAAGTTAATATCACGTATTGAAGAGGGTAATTTCACTTTTGAAGGTGAATCCACTATAGTTGTCAAGACTCTTCGAACAACTCGAACTTTAAGTTTGCACGCGCTAGACTTGTCAATCGACAAAGCCGCGACAACGTTGATCAGCAGCAATGGAAACAATTACACGCCGAAGCATCATATCTACGACACTTTGACATCCATTCTAGCTATTCGTTTCGATACTGAGCTACCGCCGGACATTTATCATCTAAATTTGAAATTTGTCGGTGTTCTGGATGATAATTTTAATGGTTTCTATAGATCATCGTATACTATACTGATGACGTAAACAAAGTGAGAGTATAACTTTAATGTTTTTAATCAGTGTTGACTGTGGACATTTTATATTCTTTTCACTAACAAACACATGCATGTATCTGAGAGAAATGTCATCTATTTAGCAATCATGTTGTGTCGCGACAAAAATAAAAGTTACTTAAATACTGTTTTTTGGAATATTTATAAACCGCATTTAGGCGCTATATAAATATTTTATTGTTTTTGTCGCATATATTGAATAGTTCTTGTTATCAAAACTTTGGCGTGAAAATGTAGCAGGTGGTCCCGCAGGTGGTTGGCCGGAACGAACTTTCATCCAACATCGGCCCGTCGAGCGTTTCCCTGCTGGGACGAGCCAGCCTTGAAAGCTACCTTTAACATCTCCATAAAACACAACCGGAATTACACGGCTTTGTCGAATATGCCGATGCAGAAGCAAACGGACGACGGGAATGAAGACGGCATGATATGGACGCACTTCGAGACGACTCCAATTATATCCACATATCTAATTGCATTTGTTGTGTCTGATTTTGTTCGTTGTTCTGACGCAAACGACACTATTACTATGTGGTGCTCCCCCGATTTTGAGCCACAGGAGATTGCAAAACGCACAATGCAAGAAGTTGCCGCAAAGGCCGGCCAAATTTTGACGACGTACACCAACAGTTCCAACAAAATTTCGAAATGGGATCACGTTTGGATACCGTTTTTGTTACATTTCAAAAGAGAGGCCCATGTTACCACCTTGGGACTCACCACTTACAGGTAACAAAAAATATAAAATTTTACTATCAAAATTGTCAGGCTTATTATGGTTTTATATAACAACAAAAAGTAAATGCAATATGTAAACACAGCGTACCTATGAAAGAAAATTGCAATAATGTGACTGTATATTTTATGAAACATTTAGTTTCAACTTCTGGCCAATTTATGAAGGACCCATGTTTCTAGCAAAATATGTAACAAATGCAATGGCACAGCAATGGATTGGTTGCGTAGTCAGTCCTTTATGGTGGACTGAAAAGTGGTTAAACGATGGACTTGTAG